ACAAATATAAAAAATATATTAAATCATATGTGTATTAATTACTTTCCTTTCTTATCAACTCTCATGTCAGCTAGCTTCATGACGAGAGAGCATACTTAGCTAACAACATTTTAACTAACTAATAGCCTTATCATAACCATAGAAATATTACCTTTAAAGGAGGTTAGTACCCCTATTATATACTACTTCAAGCCATATTTGCTTCGTTGCTTATTGAAATTGTCTTAATCTTTTCAATTATTGACCGAGAAAAGTTTGAACCACAACTGCTATGTCTTGGGATTCAATCAAAAGAGAAGTGGAAGAAAACGGAAAAAAGGGAGGCCTCACAAAAGAAAAAGATATTCAAAGAGAGGAACTTGCAGCACGTTTATACCATGCATAAAGGATACCAAGAGATGGGGGAACCTCCTTCCAAAGCACACCGTTCCCTATTTTATTAATTATTAATTGTTTACTAACTAAATCGATCAAATATTAGTCAAAATTGCATAACTCTAACAATAATTCATGTGACCATAATCCCCTTTTTTTTTTAAGAACACATCATAACATTATTTGATTCTCATTATTTACGTTATTTGATTCTCATTATATAAAGACAATGCTTGAATGAAATACAATATAAAAGAGCCTTTTACATTATATTCATGTGCAAATTCCCCCAAGTACGCCAATCATGTTCGTGGTCCAATAATAAGGGTTTAGCGATATAGCACCTTAATCTTATCTTTGATTTTGATCACTAATTAACGTTAATTCCCCATCCCTTAAATATATAGTTATAATGTAATTATCTTGTTTTTTTTTAAAAAAAAACTCCCGAGTACACGCCATGGGATCAATAACTACCAGTCCATGATATGTGAACCAAAAAGTTGTAGTTAAGACTATATTTAGCTGCAAAATAATAATTAGTCAATTATGTAGGATTGCTTGATAATACGTCTGGATTTTTTATTTTTATTTTTTTGGTGAAAGTGGGTTTTTTTTATTTAAGGATTGGTATTTTAATATTTGGAGTGCAAAACATTATATATAAGTTTTTTTTTTTTTTAAGTACAATTTGGGGAGGGAGATGAGAAATTTTAATATGACAGTATCATATATACTTAAAACTTTAGTCATTACAAAGATATTGGGTATATTTAATAATTGAGTTATGGAACCTGTGCAACATTATATATAGGTTGAGAAATGAAGAGAAAAAAAAAATACATATTACTTTGCCAGCTTTATTATTTAAAGGTCAAACCCATAAATATGCTCCAAAGTATAAATGTAGAAACAAATTCACTCTCAAATTAAATACAAAATCAAATCATCTAACTAATTAATTAAATTAGACAAATTACCTTCAAATGTTTCCACCATCTAATATCAGCACTCTATTGCTTTCTTGTATACATAACTTTTTTATTTGTATTAATAATAACAAAAAATTGATATCATATAATGTAAGTAATTAAATTTGATATAATTTATCTAATTCAATTAGTTAGTAAAGTAATTTTTTTATATTTAATTTAAATATTGTAGTTGAATTTGTCCTACACTACATTGGAAGCGAAAAATGTGGGGTTTTGGCTTTAATTATTTAAATTCTATGAAGTTTGAAAAAATATCATCCGTCTTTTAGTTGCACGCATCAGCAGCTGCAAACCTTGATTCGATTCAAAGAATCACGAAATCAAGAAACAGTCTACGCTATGTAAAAGAAAAGAAAAGAAAATTAATAAATTATATCAATCATTAGCTTCATTATTTAGAGAAACATGGCGCCTCATCAAATTCGATTTCATGACTCGTATCCTTGAATCGATCACTCCCTATATATTCAGTGCATTGCATCCTATTGTATGTCCAAAAACTAGCTAATATAGCAGAAACAATTTCATCACCCAACCCAACAACAAATATGGCTCAACCCCATAACATCCTCGTCGTAGCATTTCCAGCACAAGGCCACATAAACCCTGCCCTCCAAGTTGCCAAACTCCTGATGAATCAGGGCGTTCGTGTCACCTTCATGACATCCATCTCAGCTATCAACCGCATGAACAGAAGTTCCCCTGTGAAGGGCTTATCTTATGCAGGCTTCTCTGATGGCAACGATGATGGTTCCAAACCGGAGCATGACATCAACAATTACATCTATGAGGTTGAGCGCTGTGGTTCTTCTACCTTAAGAGAATTCCTTGCTGCCAGAAATAAAAATGGTACTCAGTTTACTCATATTGTGTACTCTCTTATTCTCCCTTGGGTGGCGGTGGTGGGGCGTGAATTTTACATCCCATCGACGTTTCACTGGAATCAACCTGCCAGCATTTTGGCCCTCTATTACCATTACATGAAAGATTATGGGGATGTCATTAAAAAAGGTATCGAGGATCCTTCCTTCGTTATCGAATTGCCAGGATTACCGCCACTCAAAAGCCATGACCTACCCTCGTTTTTCATGCCTTCAGATCCAAATTATGCAGTAGTTCCAACAATGAGAAGACAAATAGAGCTCCTCGACCAAGAAACCAACCCGAAAGTGTTAGTTAATGTATTTGATGCCTTAGAATCCGAGGTTCTCCAAGCGATCAAGGAGTACAACATGGTTGGAATTGGGCCTTTAGTTCCATCTGCCTTTCTGGATGGGAAAGATCCTTCGGATACTTCATTTGGAGGTGATCTGTTCAAAGGCACAAGGGATTATATCCATTGGCTTAACTCAAAGCCTGAAAATTCAGTGATTTATGTGTCTTTTGGAAGCTTGGCTGTGTTGGCAAAATCACAAACTGAGGAAATAGCACGCGGATTGTTAGCGACTGGCTTCCCGTTCTTGTGGGTGATGAGAGAAGGTGGAGAACGAGAAAAAGAAGAGAAGTTAAGCTGCAAGGAAGAGTTGGAAAAGCAAGGGATGATAGTACCGTGGTGCTCGCAAGTGGAGATTCTCTCCCATCCATCAGTAGGATGTTTCTTGACGCATTGCGGGTGGAATTCAACCATTGAGAGCTTGGTCTCGGGGGTGCCTATTGTGGCATTCCCTCAATGGTCGGACCAAGGAACGAACTCGAAGCTCGCTCAAGACGTATGGAAGACAGGGGTAAGAGTGATAAAGAATGAAGAAGGGACGGTTGAAAGTCATGAGATAAAGAGGTGTTTGGAATTGGTAATGGGAAATGAGGAAATGAGACGGAGTGCAAAGAAATGGAAAGATCTTGCCAGAGAAGCTGCCATGGAAGGAGGTTCTTCTTATAAGAACATTAAAGTCTTCGTGGATGAGTTGGGAAAAACTTCCTTACGTTCTTGATATGCCCGAAAAATATAGGTTGTTTAGTTTCTTCAATTTCTCCTCGATCGCAGTGTTTGTAAGCTCTTTCTTTTACACTTCTATTCACACACACCAAAAAATAAAACGAGGAGAAAAAAGAAGAAGAAGAAGAAGAAGAAGAAGAAATGTTGTTCTATATCAATGTATGTAGTGTTGGGTTGCTGAAAATAAGAGAAATAAAAATAAAAACTGCTACTACAATGAATATTTTTACTTTTTGAAATATGGCATTTCTGTAGCACAGTTCATTTTTGCACACAACACCTCATTCATGGTTTTAATTTATTATGCTTAAATTAATTTTAATTAAAATTTTATATAATTTAATAATCATATTAATGTTTAACAATTTTTTCAAAATTGACAATAATATAGTTATAATATTACGTAGAATTCTAAGTTTATTATTTTAATATTTTATTAAATAAATATATAATATTATATGTGAGTTCTTAAATAAAAAAATTAATTATTTAATAATATATCAATATTGTAACTTTACAATGATATATGATATTATAACTATATTATTTTTATTTCAAAAATAATTATATTAAATAAAGAATTTGTCTAATATGTACTCTAAGAACACATGCAGATTAGAAGTGCAATAAATATATTATTTTACAATTAATTTATATAAAAAATGAGAAAAGTTAAATTTTATTTTAGTGTCATTATTATGTGAATAGTTTTAATTAGTCAATTGATTAAATTCAAATCAATTTTTATTATTTTTTTATATAAATTAATTATAAAAAATATATTTATTATATTTTTAACTTGTATTTTAAAAAAACAAATAAAAAGTCTTAAAATAAAAGATAATTTTTATAATAATAAAATACTAAAAAAATCTACAACTACAATTCTTCACTCTAAATTCTAAATGCAGATAACAAGGCTAACTCATTTAATTAAAATGACACCATTTAAGCCCCACATTAGAAATCCTAACACATGATATTTACAAACTCTTGCAGCTTATGACTTCAAACACGAAACCCACACACCATTTTAAAAACATTGTTGTTTTGAGTCAAGACTCATTTTTAGGAACACGAAATGATATTAACTTTATTACATGCATGGTAGGCTATATATAGAAAATAACCCTTTAAGACTCAAACTTGATACATACATTTCAGAGTTCAAAGATTGCGGGGGCCATTCAACAACAACAAGCTACATGCCTTGCTGAAGCCGTTCTCACATCATTGGAGTCATCTTGATATTTTCACTTCTATCATCGGCAATCCGATGAAGAAAAGTGTCTTTAAACTTTGAGGGTTTAGGGGGTAATGCTAGACCTGGCTTTGGGAGAGGGACGTGTTTCCACAGAGTGTCGAAGCACCTTTATCATCATCTTGCCATCGTTATAGAGTCTGAGGAGGACTCGTTAAAGTCAATACGATACTGATCCTCATCTTCTTGGCTGGTGTGTCTCCATTGCTCAACAAGGGGTCCTAAAACGTTGACTGCATAGCCCATGTTTGGTCTTTGTTGTGGATCACGGGT